CTAGTTTTTTGAGCTCCATTCGCACAACCATTGAGCTCTATTGGCTCCATTGCAAACCCTGCTCGGGGGGTATTATTTTTTGGGGATACTGTTGGCAGTGGAAAACGATATATATAAGTTAAAAAACCTGGGTTTCATTAGTTTTTCTTTAAAAACTAGGTTCCAAAACCAGGTTCCAAAATTCCGAGCCTAAGAACTACGTACCACATATTTGTCGATCGTTTGTGTAAAAAAATTTTTAAGCATAATTCCATTAAGTCGACTCGGGTCTCGTGTAACATGACGGTTCAGTGATTACATGAAGTACCGGTATGTCCGTACTGACATTTACTAATTTTAACTTTTAAAATGAATCCGTCTCCCTCTTTGTCAGTTCATAAAAAAGACATTCAATTCATCGCACAGGTGATAGAATTTATATTATGATTAGTGACATTTGAATGGATACTAAGTAGTAATGTTTAAATTAGGAAACTACAACTTTGATTGTAAAAAATTTACCAAACTTATCAGAATCTGATTTACTCAAATTCTTGAAAAACTTTGGACCACAAGATATCCGTCTTGGAAGAACTCAACATTTGGTATACAATTTTAACTTTTTATACTCGTAAAAATAGAATAACGCGTTTAAATATATTTCTTGTATTAGAAAAATTCAGCTTTTTTGGACTTTCCTGATCGGGCCTTAGCTTTGACTGCATATTCTAAATTTCAAGAATTAGAGGAGATTGGAGGCAAGAAGATTCGTGTAGAATATGCATCACCTAGCAAAGAGGCCTTAAAAAAGAAAGCTAATGACGATTCAGTAAATAGCTCGGGTGATATTAAGCAAAACGATGTAGCAATACTACAATTACCACCACCACCGCCTGTTCCACCGATACCTGGATCTCACGCGGAACCTATTGCCTCTTCGCTCGGGTGAGTATTAACCTTTCTGCCATTCTTGAAAGCTGGTTATTTCAAAGATTTGAAGGTCCTTTCAAGTTTTTGATAAGTAGATTTATCTTAAACAATTCATGAATTATTCAGATTTAATTATCCACCCGCCCCAACACTTCATTATCGCTATCCACCACCAACAGTTGAAATCCTTTATAACATTATGAACGCAATAGCGGCGGTACCCAAATTGTATACACAAGTATTACATTTAATGAATAAAATGAACTTACCACCACCATTTAAACCAGTGGTTCCTGAATCTGTACCAACTCTAGTAAGATAATTTGTATTTATATAAAGATTAATGGTATTACTTATTTTATCTAATTTTATAAGTTAAATTACTTTTGACTTTAGCTCCAACAACATTTTTCTGATTTGCAAAATGCTGATGATAATAGTAAGAAACGTAAAAAGCGGGACGAATTATTGTCAGAGGATGAATCAGAAATTGATAGCGAGGATGAAGAAGAAAGGAATGTGAGGTCAAAAAAGAAGACTAAGTCAACGGCCAATGCGTTTAGTGCAATCCCATTAGTATTACCGATTGCCACTACCGATAATCCATATGTAAATCCGTTATCGGCAGC